GGCCCACCCGCCCCCCACCCCCCCCCCGCCCCCCATCACTGGCAACCACACGGATGCTCACTGTGCCTGTGAGTCCCACTGTTTTATATGCGAGGTCATGTGTGTCTTTCCGTGTCTGGTTTGTCCCGCTCAGCATCATGTCCTCTGGGTTTACCTATGTTGTTGCCAATGGAAGCACCTCCTTTTATAAGGCTGGGTAATATTCTATTGGGGGGATGGGTGACATTTTCTTCATCCATCCACAGACATCTGGGTTGTTTTTATAGGGTGTCCCCCAAAAATGTAGACACACACTTTATATACTTACAAAGGCCGTGTTTGTTAAAAGACATTTCTTTTTCAAAATTGAGCTCTCAGCTGTGAGAGTATGTACACATCTTGGGGGGAATACTCTGTATATCTTGGCTGTTGTGGATAATAGAATGAAAATATCTCATAGGATCCTGACTATCAATTCTTTTTTTGTTTGTTTGTTTTGTAAAATATGTACTTATTGATTTCAGAAAGAGGAAGGGAGAGGGGGAGAGAGATAGAAAATCAATGATGAGAGAAAATCATTGATCAGCTGCCTCCTGCACACCCCACAGTGGGGATGGAGCCCATAGCCCGGGCATGTGCCCTGACTGGGAATGGAACCGTGACCTCCTGGCTCATGGGTCGATGCTCAACCACTGGGCCACGCTGGCCGGGCCTGACTGTCAATTCTTTTGCATACGTGGGATTATTGGGTCGTAAAGTAGTTTTATTTTTAATTTTTTTAGGAGCCTCCCTGCTGTTCTGCATGGAGGCTGCACCATTTCACATGCAAAGGAGAGCTGGCATCAAAGCACAATCTGACTCGAGAGCCGCTGGCTCCAAACCATCCTACTGCACCCCTGGGTACCAAGTACCTGGGATGCAGGGTGGCCAGGAGCATGCCCATGCAAGGCACGGATGTCTCTATTGTGTCCTCTGAGCCTCTACACCCATCCCTGTCTCATCCTGTAGACTGGTCTCTTTTCTCTGACATGGGAGTGGCTGTTGCTCGTGTTAAAATCTATCCCGTGGGCCCTACCCAGTTTGGCTCAGTGGCTAGAGCATCAGCCTACAGACTGAAGGGTCCCAGGTTCCATTCCAGTCAAGGGCACATGCCCAGGTTGGGGGCTCGATCCCCAGTGGGGGGCATGCAGGAGGCAGCCGATCAATGATTCTCTCTCACCATTGATGTTTCTCTCTCCCTTTCCCACTCTCCCTCCCTCTCCCTTCCTCTTGGAAATCAATAAAAATACATATTTTTTTTAAAATTCATTCTGTGGAAGCCAATGTTTCCTTCCTTCTTGCATGCAGGCTGCAGACCAAGCCCCTGGTCATCGAGTGGTGGGAGAACCTCTGCTCCGTGCTCAGCACCCACCCCAGCCTGCAACAGCTGGACCTCGCGGGCAGCATCCTGAGCGAGTGGGCCATGAGGACCCTGTGCGTCAAGCTGAGGCAGCCAACCTGCAAAATCCAGAAGCTGATGTAAGGCTGCCCTAAGGCCAATCTATAAACTGTATTCGGAGGGGACAAGTGCCGTGGGAGGTATAGGAACCGAGCTCCCAAAAGCAATGGGATGGGAAGGGACTCAAGACCTTGTGAAGGGATTACTTGTGAAGGGTGGGTTCATGTATTCAGGTTTTGAAGGATGAATAGGAGTTGGTTAGTAAGGGGAAAAGAAGGGAGCTCATTTCAGGTGAGTGGTCCAGCATGAGGCAATAAATGCAAAGATCAAAGCGCATGATTTACTGAAGCACTTCCATCAGTCCTTAGTGCTTTTAAGGTCATAAGGTCATATCAATATATATAAAAGGCTAAGTGACCAACTGTATGTCCGGTCGACCAGCCGACCGGTACATATGAAGCACACTGGCAATTTAAAAATAAACGTTGACGTGTGCATGTGCAATACATATTAAAATATTTTGTATTTTAATTTTATAATACCATATTATATATACTAGTTGACATGTAATTTTTTGCAGTAACATAGTTACTGCGCGAATCTTCTAATTTATTTCCTTTCCATGTGCACAAATCCATGCACCGGGCCACAAGTATAGTCATAAGCTCGCACATATTTGAATGCTAATACGTTCCTGGATCTGTAGACCCCAGGGTACTCACCAGGCACCAGCAGTGATCGAGGAAGGGCGCGTTGTACTTTGAAGGTTCTATTTAATGTTCCTTCCAAGGCCATGCAAAGCCCACAGGACAGCCAAGACAAGAGCCAGTCAGGTTCTTGGTTGCAAAGGCCGCCCCCTCCCCATCCTCCCCTTTTTGCATCTGAGTGCTTTCCTTCAAAGGGGCTGGGCCAAGGGGCTGGTGACCCCACAGTAATGAATGGTGCCCTGTCACCTTACGTCCTGCACAGAACTTAACAACTCTGCCCACTGCTATCTGAACACCCTCCCCGAGGAAGCCCTCCCCATAGCTGTCCCTGTGTTGCTGTTGTTTTTAATAAATTTTTATTGATTTCAGAGAGGAAGGGAGAGGGAGAGAGAGAGAAACATCAATGATGAGAGAGAATCATTGATAAGTTGCTTCCCATACACCCCACACTGGGGATTGAGCCTGCAACCCGGGCATGTGCCCTTGACCAGAAATCAAACCATGGCCTCCTGGTTCATAAGCCAACGCTCAACCACCAAGCCACACTGGCCAGGCTGTAAGCTCTTGTCACACCCTGTCATCAGCTCTAATCCACGTCATCACCATATTTGTAATACAACAGTAATACATGACAGTGGCAAAGAGATTTAGGAATTACAGAGGTGTTAAGTAAACCCTTTGATGCCTCTTCAACTTCCTGTCTCCCTCATTAATCTCACATATTTTCCATGAAATTATCTGTTAATATTGGCAGAAAAAGTCTAGTCCCCACCTGGCCCCATACATAGTTATTATAATATTACTGACTGTATCCCCCATGCCGTACTCCACATCCCCACGACTGTTTTTGCAACTATCAATTAGTACTTTTCTTTTAATCCTCACCCAAGGATGTGTTCATTGATTTTTTAGAGAGAAGAGGAGGGAGAGAGAGAGAAACATCAGTTGGGCGCATGCAGGAGGCAACTAATCGATGTGATACAGGATTAGTTGCCAGGACCCTCTCTCCCTCCCGCTCCAAAAATCAATGGAAAAAATACCCTCAGGTGAGGGTGAACCACAACAAAAGGAATAATTAGGCTGCACCCGACCATCTAACTCTCGCTCCCTCACTCTCTCCGGCAGATTTAAAGGCACACAGATCACCCTGGGTCTGCCTCATCTCTGGAAGACGCTGATCGTCAACCATAACATTAAACACCTGAACTTGGACAACATTCACCTGCAAGAGGAAGACATCGGGGTCTTGCACGAAGCCTTAAAGCACCCCCACTGCTTGTTGGAGTCTTTGAGGTAAGTCCCTGGACTGGTTCTCAACTTTTCTTTTTTAAATCTTCAACTCCAGGATATGTTTAGAGAGAGGAGGGGGGAGGTCGAGAGAAAGAGAGCGAGAGATATCAATGTGAGAAACATACATCGGCTGCCTCCCACACACCCTGCCCAGGGATCAAACTTACAAGCCAGGTAAGTGCCCTGACCAGGAATCAAACCCACAACCCCAACCAACTGGAGCCACCTGGCCAGGGTGATTTTCACATTTTTGTTTTTTGGTGTTTTTTTTTTAATTTTCACCCAAGGATATTTTTCCATTGATTTTTAGAGAGAGTGGAAGAGAGAGGGAAAGACAGAGAACCATCGATGTGGGAGAAACACATCGGTTGGTTGCCTACTGCATGTACTCTGACCAGGGCCCTGGCCGGGGAGGAGCCTGCAACCAGGGGACGTGCCCTTGACCAGAATCAAACCCAGGACCCTTCGGTCCTCAGGCCCACGCTCTTATCCACTGAGCCAATCCAGCTGGGGCAGTTTTCGCTTTTTGATTGTATGGATTTATTTTATTATTTTTTTTGTTTTGGTTGGGTTGCTTTTTCACTTTCTATGTTGAAATAATTATTCCTGGCGGGTGGCAAAAAGATGGCAACAGGTTGGAAGGTTGACGAAGTCCAGAGACAGCTGGTGGGGACACGGTACAACGATGTGAATGGACTTAATGCCCTAGAACTGGGCACATAGGAATGGTCAGGGTGGCCATTTTTATGTTGTGTATATTTTACCACAATACAAAAGTCACTTGTGATGTTTCATAAAGTTGGGGGGAGGATCACAGCATGGCCAGTGTGGCTCAGTGGTTGAGCATTGACCTATGAACCAGGAGGTCACGGTTCGATTCCCAGTCAGGACACATGCCCAGGTTGTGAGCTCAATCCCCCGTGGAGGGAGGCGGGGGGTGCGGGCGTGCAGGAGGCAGCTGATCCATGATTCTCTC